CTTTGTGTCTCCACATCATCTTAATGTGACTTCCCCCTGGGTGCCCTGTATCTCACTTCCTTCTCCCTCCTTGAGAAGATTCTTTTTCAATTGCCCATTTCCTTCCTGCACACACTGTCATTTTCTCTCTCCCTAAAAGACAGGCCAGAAAATAAGAGTGCTTTTTTGAAACATCCATTTACAAATTTCTGTTGGTTTTACAGGCTTTTCAGGTATTTTTCTATTCTCTTTTCCCGTCACAGAAAACTGTTTTGAAAGAAATTTTTATTGTTCTCTCTACAAGCTTACCTCCTACTTTATACTGTATTTTTTGCTAGTATCCTTCTGTTTTCCTTGTAACTATCCTCTACTGCGCTTACTTCAAGTATGGTTTTACTTTTCTCCTACCATTATACATGTCTTGTGCCTAGGCTAATTAGTCAGTATGTGAATATTCTCATTGTCTAAACGATAATAGATTGCTTATAGAAACATCTACTATAGGACAGGCAATGTTCTAAACATGTTCTATATATTACTTCATTTCATCCTTAACCTGTAGATAATATTCCTAGTAGAGATGAAGAAAACTATTGTCTGGAGGGAGTGGCCACTTTGCTTTAGGTGAAACAGCTACAGAAAGAAGCTTAGATTTGAATCTAGCAACTATGTATTCAATTTATGCTTAATCTACTATACTTACTTTTAATTTTAATTGACAAAATTTCTGTATTTATTTTGTACATACTGATATTTTAAAATAAGTATATTTTTATAATTGCTATCTTGAATCAATTAATACATAAATTTTCTCATGTAGTTTTTTGCAATAAAACTTAAAATTTATAATCTTAGACATTTTAAACTGTAATCACCATGTAGTATAACTGATCTCTTGAATTCATTCTTCTAACTTAGATTTTGTCTCCCTTTATAAGCGTTACTTGCTTCTCCATGTTAGTGCCTGGTAACTACTGTTATCCTCCCCTGAGTTAAACTTTTTTGTATCATACATATTAATGAGATCATATAGTACCCTTCTTTTTTGTTCCTTACTTGCTTCCTTAAAGATGCAGTATTCTGGAAGTCCATCTGTGTTGTAAAAAATGGCAGGATCACATTATCTTTATACTGAAGGGTACCCTTTTGTTTGTATGTCTGGTCTCCTGCTGATGGATACTTTGGTTGATTCAATTTCTTAGCTTTATGAATAGAGATACAGCAACCACAGGAGCTAAGTGTTTTCTTCAATACATGAGTATCATTCCCTTTGAATGTGTGCTTCATTGGGGTTTCTAGATCATACAGAAGTTCGGTTCTTGTGTCTGAGGTTCCTGCATACTATTTTCCATATGGCTGGGACCATTTACATCCCCAGTGACAATAACCAAGCGTTCCTTTTCCTCAACATGCCAACACTTCCTAGCCTTTGCTTCTGATAATAATTGTTCGACATAGATGACATCTCATTTTTGACTTATACCACATTAGTAATTAAAGATATTGAGCATTTTCCATATTTTTGTTAGTCCTGTCTACATCCTTTCTTGATTAATCTTTATTCTCGTGAGTTGTCTATTTTAAATTTGGCTGTTTTCTTGCTTGAGTTGCTTGGGCCCCTTACATATATTGCATATAATCATTTATTATTATTAGCCTTTTATTTATTATTATCACCTTTTATGTAATATTATTCTATTCCACAGGCTTTTTCTCTTTTGATTATCTTTTGCCACACAGTTTATTGAGTTTGCTGTAATCTGTTTTTCAGTCTTTTCTTTTGTTGTCTGTGCTTTTAAAGTTGTATCTAAAAAAAATAATGCTCAGACCAATGTCATAGACATATCTTGTGTATGTTTTACTCTAATAATTTTGCACTTCCAGGTTCTTTATTTAAGTCTTTGGGTTCACTTTTTGTTGCTTTTTCTATGTAGTGTAAGGCAAGGGTCTAACTTTATTCTTCTGGGTGGTCATGTATCACAAGACCATTTATTGGAAGTACTGCCTTTTCTCTTCACCTGTTCTTGATGTCTTTGTCAGAGATTTATTCCCTCTGCTCAAGATTGCCTTAGTGATCCAGGGTATATTACTTTCTAAATGGACAATTACTTCTTTTCATTTAATTGGATCTTCAGCAGGTCTGACAGTGCTGATCAATCCCTGCCGTCAGATGTATTTTATTCTGTGCTCTTTAGTGCTCCTGTTCTATGTGCTTTCCCTTGTCCCCACCAGCTGCCCCTAGTCCTGCTGCCTTCCCCATGACATATCCACCATTAGTGCTCATTTCCTTTTCCTCCCCTGGGTGGGTCACATCCCCACAACGGTCTCCTTCAGTTTCTAGTTTTCCATACAACCTTAGGGATCTCAGGGTTGTGTGTGTTTGCAGTCCAATCCTCTGCTTCAAGCTCCACTTCATGAATAGTCCCCTTATTTAGATATAACATGGGGCTGTATCAACCTTTTGCTTAGCAGGGCCAAAAGAAATGTAATCCTCCTCTCCCTCCTCCTGCCTCCTGTCAACCGTGCCCCCTTTTCAGATACTCTCTATTAGACCATTACTTCTTTCCTTTTTGTTTGTTTTTGTTTTTAGTTGATAGCTGCATTTTGGTTTTTCAAGACAGAGGATTTTTTGGTAGCTCCTGCTTTCCTGGAACTTGCTCTGTAGACCAGGCTGTCCTCGAACCTGGAGATCAGGCTGCCTCTGCTTCTTAAATGCTGGAATTAAAGGTGAGAGCTACCGCCCAGCAGACCATCAGCTTCTAATTTTTCATGATTTAGATTTCCACTGGAACATTTCTCCCCCTGATGGTCTCCCCCATCTAGTTATGCCCTCAGCTAGTAACCTCTTAGCACCTAGACTCCTACAGCTGGTCACTATCACCTTCTTCAGCAAGAGGATACACATGCTGTCCAAAGACTTTCCCCTCTTAAAAAAAGTGAAACAAAAAAAAAAACAAAAACAAAACAGCTAATCTCTTTATAAGATGTCACAGGAGCCCCACATTTCTGACACGTTTCCCTCAACTTCTCCCTTGTCCACCCATGCCCCACCCCCAGCCACCCTGCTCTTATTATCAGCACAGGAGAACATTTTTTTTTCAGTTTCAGAAACAGGCCACTGCCTTTCTTTTCTGCGTTTGCTCTCTTTCTCTAGGTCTTCATAAAGGGTGTGGCTTCCTTATAATTCACCCTGTCATTCACACTACATCTACTCTAGAGAATGCCCTGGAGCTTTCAAATGTAGATGCGAGTCCCCCCCGCCCCCCACCTCAGTTACTCTCAACAACATCTCTGTAGTGGATTTCCTTCAAATATTTACTGACTTCATAATGTACTTGAGTGTTTATTATTTGTTTTCTTCCCGGCAATGTAAGCTCCCTGAGGACAGGAAACATCTTTGTCCTGTTAATTCATCACAGCTCCAGTACTCCGAGAAGTTGGTAATGTGTGGTAGTCACTCATTTTAACTGTCACCAAGTACAGTGCAACAGGCAGTATCAATTGTGTATTATAACAGAAACATGGTATGTTTGGGAAGTTAAGAGTGAGTGACTCATGCTCAACCAAGGGAAAATTATAGAGTATAAGAGGGTCAGGCCAGAAGTCTGGGTCTTATATATTTTAGCTTCGGTTTCAATACACGCAGTTGACTCAAACATAGAGAACTTCTGCCACTGGCGTCTATGGTGACACAGCTACTCATGGTGTTGGAGACTGCACCCCTTTCCTAGCTGTTCTGAGAAGCGCCTGTCAGTTTCTAGGTCTCACATGGAGGGATAAGGAGTTATGTTATGTAAGATTTTCATCTCCAGAAAAGCTTAGGTGAGTTAAGTGCCAATTCCATTGTTCATCTCTAAGAGGCAGGTTGATGTAAATGCATGATGCGCTGATCTTATTTATGGGGAGAAAAGGTTCAAAGTATTAAACTATACATAGTGTTAAACTATGTAGTATATAGTATTAAACTATGTAGTATATAGTATTAAACTATAGCCAATTCCCTACCTATTTAAATTATTATCTTAATGTTACATTAAAATGTTTTCTTGAAGCACATTCCTTTAGTAGATGCTTAATTTTGTTTTTAAAAATGCTCTTAATCTCAGGAGATGGAACTTTGTGGTCTGTCATTTTAAGGACAATGAGTTAAAGAAGAAATGTGGGGAGAAAGCAATTCTGACGTAGACAAACTAGAGTCCTTCCAAAGCATGTCTTGAGATTCCGAATTTTCAATCATCCCCAGTCACTCGTCTTCCTCTGAGGACGGAAAAATGGTTCTGTGAGCTTGGCAGCTGATGAGACTGGCTTTCCAGGTGGCTGGCTTCCAGACGCAATCCATCCAAGTTCTGCCCGCAGTTGTTGCCATTCCGTGGCAAGTTGTCTCCTCAGGCAAAATGGAAAGAGGAATGATTATGGGTCCTGACATTGGCTGGAGCTTGTAAGAAAATGGTGGTATTTTTTTTAGAGTCTTCCAATTAGTTTATTTCCAGGGAAACTGGGCAGGATATTCTGAGGCTGCGGTGTTCACACAATGTCACTGCTTCCTGAAGGGGTGTCCTCTGCGAAAGCCTCTCTCTCTACGCTGGGAAGGCTCACGACTGTTATATCACCCTGCTGCGATTGTATGACTGGCCTCAACAAGCCTACTATAAGGGTACCACTTCCAGGGATTTATGTTCTGGTGATTAACACATTGAAGAGAGAGGTATGAACTGCACAAATAAATACACTTTTACAGAATTACAGATTGCTTCTATATTTCAGATTCCTTTAACAGCTCATTCTAGTCTAGTCACTAATTGTTCCTGCTTCACCAAGTATTTGCTGACAGAAATGGTCTCAGTACATTTAGAAAAAAAAAATCAAATCTGTATTAGGGCGCCGACATTATTGTATTTTTGGTTCTTTGCTTGGCAGATCTATTATACAGCTTTATTTGAAATATTTCTCATTGAAAAACAGGAAACAAAGTGTCCAAATCTTCCTCAACATTGTTTTCTCTTCTGTTTCTGTTTGCACAGCTCACCATGTTAAGACGGGAACTTGCGAGGTGGTGGCCCTGCACAGATGCTGTAACAAGAACAAGATAGAAGAACGGTCCCAGACGGTCAAGTGCTCCTGCTTCCCTGGGCAGGTGGCAGGCACCACACGAGCGGCTCCATCTTGTGTGGATGGTGCGACCTCTTTCATTGCTCACTCTTACAACATCGTCAGAACTGGAACCCCACTATAATGCTACCTACTGAAGTCACTCCCAGGGGACCACACCGTAAATCACACGGCAGAAAGAAAGTTACCTGGGGGGCTTTGTGTGACACAAATACCTGTAGCTAGAGTTAATCACATATCACATTGTTCTGTTACAAAAGCATTATAACGAGGTTCCAGTTAGTCAATGTGCTTCTGATATTGTTGCCATAAAATACAGATTTCCTGGTAGATGGTAGATAGATAAATTACTTAGGAAATGCAAGATGGCTATATAGGGTTAAGTAATATATGTTCAAAAACCTTGGACAGAGTTTAAAAATAAGAGAAAAAAATTTAACTCCATGTGCATGAATGACTGGCTGCAAACAAAATTCACATACAATGATTTCAATGGAGATGGATGTAAATGTCAGTTTTTTGTTTGATAGTTAATATTATTACAGTAGATTGCAAATCTTTGTGTGAGGCTAGTAATTGTTACATCATAAACAGTAATTTTATGTGGAATATTTTTTATGAAGAAATTGCTGTTTATGATAAAGAAAAAGAGAAAAACATATTAAGTCTACAAACAGTCTCCTGATTTTCAGCTTGCTCATGGGGAGCATTTCATTGACTTTAAAATATTGATTCATCTTGGCGTGGGTATGGTTTATTATGTATTTATATAAATCAGTGCAGAGTTTTTCAATATATTAGTTTTATGAAGTCTATATTTTCGCTTGAAACAACCTTCAACACAGTGAGTAAAGTTATTACTTTCTGTTGAACATTTAGAAATTTATTATTATATATCCCATATTAGTTGTCCTTACAGTGGTAAAATAAAATTTTATATGTAAAAGAACGTCTTGAAAATACAAAATAGATTAGTTGGATCAGTGCATTTTGTCCCATGGCAATCCCAAATAGAAATATTGAGCTAATTCTCCTCCCTCCTTACAGCATCCATAGTGGAACAAAAATGGTGGTGTCATATGCAGCCATGCCTGGAGGGAGAGGAGTGTAAAGTCCTCCCAGATCGGAAAGGGTGGAGTTGTTCCTCTGGAAACAAAGTGAAAACAACCAGGGTGAGTGGAGAGCCAGCCTGGGAGGCAAAGGATCTCTGAGTTAGTGGAGAGCAGGATGTGTACTGTGGCATCTTAAGGGGAAGTTGTAGAATGGAATGGTATTGCTTTATATAATGTGAATTTCCCACTAATTCATTTCTTCATAGCTCATTTTTATTTCAGAATACCATCTTCTACCAAATGTCATCCGCCTCCATGTTTTCTGATTAATGAACACTGTTTTCTCATTAGGTTCTGCTAACAACATGAATGCCCCCTACTTCCACAGACATGGTAGACAACTGGCCCCAAGCCCTGTTCTTCAGCTGAGTAGTTATGGGAATAAATTCTAAAAGAGATTCCATATGATTAGTTTACATATGGCTCCATATATATTTACAACTTGGGTTCTGTCTGTATTGTGAAGGGGGTTGTTTTGATTTTCCTGAATTTGGGAGAGATAATTAGTTTTCTAAGAGTAAAGGGTCGCAATCTTTGTAATGGGTAATGGAGAGATGATTCAGGATCAACACGAAGCAATGCTTTGGTCAGAGATGGACTTCTGGTCTCAAGAACTTCCATGGAGATGGGAGAGGAGCAAGAAGCCATTTAATTTTTAATTTCCCATTGACTGCATGAATTTCCAGGACTGAAAGAATTTGATTTCCATTTTAAATATAATAATATATGTGAAAGTTATGTGTAATTTTATATAAATTATTTATTTTTAAAAGTATAATTGAAAATTAAAATTTTATACTTTTCAATTTGTTTTGAAGGAAAGTTGGCAATTGACTGAACTTGAATAATTGAACAATAAAACAAAATAATGGTAAAAATTTATTAAAAGTGACACCAAGATAGATAATATTATTTATCATAAATTGACATGAAATTAAAATTTTTCTTCTGAGTATCTTCAGGTGATTATTCTATTGCTGTCATCCCAACACATTCAACCTTGTCAAGTAATGTCATCAATACATTAACACTAGATGCACTCAGATGTGTCCATGTTTTAAGTAGCACAAATAAAGAACATACTTTATTGTTTTGCCAGTTATTGATTCTAATACATTGGCTAAATTTTGGGAAAATATTTTCAGAATTGTGTCAAGTACATGGTCAGTTAGTTAGAATAACTCTATTATTCAGTGGGCTGGAAAAAGTTCTAATTCTTTCTGATTTGTCAACATTTTCTTGATGTAAAATTTTCTTGTAAGGTATTTATTACCATGAAATTATTTCCCCTCACACCGTTCCTACCAAAAATAAGAATAATGGGAATTCACTAAAGATTTGAGATTCTGAAAGACATTGGCAAAGTAAGTAAGGAAGAAAAGTGAGCTCTCTATAGCCATTCCGTGTTTTCGTTAGTTCATTGGACAAGGAGAAACGGACATTCACTGGACCCATAAACATATGCTGCACACTGAACAAGGTACTTTAAATACATTATCTAATTTACTCTGCTTAATAGCTCCACAAAGAAGATATTTTCATCTCCATTTTACTGATGAGTAAACCAATGCTTTGCAAAGTTAACTGGCTTCCCAAGGTCATAATGGTAATTAATTGATGGACCAAGATTCAGCTACATAGCCTGAATCTCAAAATTGATCCCTTAATATGTAACTGCAACTTAATTTTAACATATGATTTAATATATTATTAAATGATAATTATTAAATTTTCCTACAGTTCTTTTCATATGGGATAGACCTTTCAGAATATATTTAACTTTCTGGATCACTGAAATGAAAAGGTCAAGGCAATGTTGAAATTCTCAAAAACTATTTTCTAATGGTGCCATTACTTTCCCTGTTGGCCAATTCTCAATAATTCAAAATTAAAACTGGGCTTCACCTTCACAGAACTTAGTCCAATGTGTAGAAAGAGGACAGGTGAAAGAATGGGTGGTTCTGGGCAGGAAAACCACGTCTAGATCCTATAGCTTGCTTTAGTAGTATGGCACTACATGCTATCAAACAATGGTTTTTGATTTTCTTTCATTCTTCACTATGAAGAGATGGCAGCGGAGGACCTTATAGGATGCATGATCTTCCATCATCAGGCTGAGGGTTATGCTGACATCATAGGATAAAAAATGGAACCAGGCAGGAAGCTCTTCAAACTCTATATCCCTGATGGCTTTTGCTATGTGTGTAGAGGGCAGCTACAAGTGGTGGCCATAGGCAAGTGGAAGCAGATAGGAGAAAAAAGCAAATATCTCTCACCCATTCACAGAACTGAAGCCAGCTTTGAGTTTGTCTGCTCAGTATCCTTGTATCATTTTATCCCTCTATGTCCTTCATGAATTCTGCCACGAATGCTCCCAAATTGCTTCCCTAACTGTCAACAAATGTCTGTCTTCTCCCTTCCACAACTCATCTGCCACACTGACTTCTGTGCTTCATATCCATCACCATGGCTCTTCTGCCTCTATTGTTTCTGTCTCTATGTTACCAGCTCAGCCTTCACTACTGAAAGCAGACAAGAAAAGACTGCTTAAGGAAAGCCTCACATTGAGTGTGTAATGCCAGGGCAGAAGGCTCAGAGAATTCTAAGCCAATTCAATAAGTGAGCCTACAAAGCAAGCTTATATAGTGTTTAAACCAAACACAGCCATTGATGCTTAAGTTTTGAACCATTTGTAGCCTTGTCTCTTAAGGCTGCAAGTCCCTCTGATACATCAATGGCTTAATTTTTCCTCTGCTAACTTAGGTGGTTGCAGGGTTATCTAGAGTTCCTACAAATTTGTGATGACACAAAATCTGATAGAAAATTGCTTCACAGCACACTAATGGTGTCTCTTGTGCCAGGGAAATGATCTGTGGTTGTTATGCAGTTTTCCTGAAGCATCTCAGGGTTAGCAGTTGATACTGATGATGGTAGAAGGGAAGTCAGGAGCCCAACAGCTGAAAATGATGGAGTTAGATTGCTCTGTGGCTCCATCATTTCTCCCTGACTGGAAAATGGACATCAGAAGTCAGGTTTACAGCAAGAACTTAGCAGACTTACTTTTTTTTATATTCCTTTTTTTAAAAATTTTTTTAATATAATTTTTTATTGAAAAAAATTTCCGCCTCCTCCCAGACTCCTATTTCCTCCCCCCCCCCACTCCTCTCCCCTCCTCCCACTCCTCTCCCCCTTCCTCTCCAGTCCAAAGAGCTGTCAGGGTTCCCTGTCCTGTGGGAAGTCCAAGGTCCTCCCCCCTCCATCCTGGTCTAGGAAGGTGAGCATCCAGACTGGCTAGGCTCCCACAAAGCCAGTACATGCAGTAGAATCAAAACCCAGTGTCATTGTCCTTGGCTTCTCATCAGCCCTCATTGTCGGCCATATTCAGAGAGTCCGGTTTTATCCCATGCTTTTTCAGTCCCAGTCCAGCTGCCCTTGGTGATCTCCTAATATATCAGCCCCACTGTCTCAGTGGGTGGGTGCACCCCTTGCGGTCCTGACTTCCTTGCTCATGTTCTCCCTCCTTTTTTTTTCTAACTCTATCTTTATTCTTGATGTTTTCTTTCTAATTCTTTCT